AAAAAAAAGGGCAGTGTGGAATGATAAATAGTGTATATAGTGTGGTGTAAATGAAAATGATTTTTTGAGAATGGAAATTGACAATGTTTGCTTTCAATGACCACAAAGCACAATTTTGTAGACTCTTTAGGTGAGCCAGCATTTAATGGTAAAAAAATGCTTCCCCATGTTATCATGTCATGGCAGGTTGTAATCAAATATTGTCAAATTGCATTTTCAAAAGATCATTTCGCTAGTTTCAATCTTACAACGGCGTAAATTAAAGGTTAAAACATTCCATCTCCTCCATCCCCCTCCATTAGGTCAATGAATAAATAACATTGCAAAGGGTAAGAAATTATTGGTTCTATGCCTCAATTAAGAACTTTATAATTCAACTTAAATATCACATATTTAAATCTTTAGATGCATGTAGAGAAATATATTTAGGATAAAGAAAGATTATCTATTATGAGAAAAGTGTTTGCTGGTTGCAATTGAAAAGACAAAATTTACAATCTTCAATTTTAAGATTAAAATTATGTTGTTTGATTAAAAATCATTTAAGTCTCTCATATGTTTTAAATAAAATTATTAAAAAGTATTTATTAAAACTACATAATTTTAAAATAAAAATAAAAGATTTTTTTAATAAATAAAAGGTGTAAATTCTCTTTAAAATTGCGGTATCGAAGCAAACCATCTCAAAAAAATGTTAATGTAATTTGTTATCTTAAATTTTTATTTTTAAGAAAATAATTTTAATTTAATAATTATTAATAACTTTTCATCAAACTTTAAAGTATGAATTTAATAGAGTTTAACAACAAATATTAAATTTGAATCAATTTCTTAAAAATAAAAGCTTAAAATGATAAATTACATAAATATATACATATTTATTATGATGATTGACTTCAACCAACGTGCCCATTTTGAGAGGCAATCTATATATTTAATATTTTTAATATTAAAATTTCTTACTATATAACGAAGTATCGTGAAATGAAACATCCCATGCACGTAATCATATACGTCAACGGTACAAATGATTTTTTTGTCTAAATAAAAAAAAATTTGATTTTTTAAAAATAAAATCTTAAATTTAAATTTTATAAACAGAGAAACAAACACTTGAGAGAATTTTTTTTTAATAAAATCTAACGTAAATTAATTTTAAATTAATTAAAATATAATATGATGATTGAATATTAAAAAATTAATAAAAAAACACACCATATATACCAATGGTATCAACGGGAGCATCAGGTGACACGAGGAGAGGGGAATTGATAAGGAATCGTTAGGTCATAGGTGGGAAGAAAATTAGTAATTAATAGGGGTGTGGGGATGGGGCCCATGACTGTCGTCTTGATCCCAACACTACAATTCAGTGGATTGACATTATCACTTTCTTTGCTTGAATGATTTGCCTTCTTCCATTTGCATGTCTGGCCTGCCCATTAACAGGAGTATTATGCTCCTTTTAATTTCTTCCCATGCTTTTCATGCTTCCGCAGTTCCACTCTACACCCCCCCCCCCCAAAAAAAATCTACCCCTCAAAAATTAATTTTTCATTCCATAAATAAAACCATTGATATACATGACTTTTTCATTTTCATTCTATTATTGTGATATCTATACATTACACATTAAAAATGTGTGCCTTTAGTGTATTTTTTGCATCTTAAACTTTTATCATTAATTTACTTTGGAAATTAATGTTTATAGCATTATTTATTATTACAATTAATAAGCTGTATATAAGGACTAGATAATACACATTAAAAATATTGGATTAACGATTTAATTTGATTGAACGGGATGGTGTTAATGGTAAATATCAACTTTAGTTTTTGAATTTTTAATTTTGAATAATTTTAATTTCTAAACTATTTTTGTATTTTTTATCCATAAACTATGAAAAAATGCTTCTTCTTTTTTGTCTTTTTGTCAGTTTTATCTATTATGTTAGTGCAACTAGCATTTTCTTTAATTACCTTTAATGCTATAAATGAGCATAAAACAAAAGTTCACGGACCAAAAATATGCAACAAATATTAATTCAGGAACTAAAATGTACATAAAACAAAAGTTAAGGGACAAAAAATATTAATTGTGCAAATTTAACGGGCAAAATTGATAGCAGAATAAAACAAAAAAAAGAGAGTGTATTTTTCATAATTAAAATATGAAAAAGTACAACAAATAAATTAAGAACTAAAATTATTCTAAATTAAAAGTTTAAAAACTAAATTGGACATTTAAACCACACACAGCTTCCTCTCTTTTATTTTCTATAAACCAAATAT